TCTTTTCTTTTTCCTTTCCTTTTCTTCCTCTTATTTTTTTTTTTCCACAAATGTCTCCTTTTTTTCTTTCCCCCTTCCGCAGCCCCGTGCAGGGGCATTTCGGACGGCGCAAGGAGCGGCGGGGCGAGCAGCTCCGAGGTGAGCGCGCAGCCCCCGCGCGGGACTCGGATGGCCCCGGCAGCTCCGCTGCGCTCCTCGGCCCCACCCGGGGCAGCGGCACCGCCGGGTCGCGGGGCTGGACGCCGAGGCTGTGCGCGGCGCTGAGAGCGCACCGCTCCTCACACAAACGTCGCACGGGAGCACCGCGAGCAGCCGGGGCGGGTAGCGGGCAGAGAAGGAGGGTTCGTACCTGGGGAAAGGGCGCTCTCGGGGACCGACAGAGGCGGACGAAGCCGGGCGCAGCGAAAGCGGGAGGCGGCAGAGCCGTGCCCGCATCGGGCCAGCGGCCGCCCTCGGGGCGCGGGAGGCAGAAGGAAGGCGGCGGCGGTGCCCGGCCCTGTCCCGCCGCGGAAAGGACAGGCTGCAGCGCGGAACGCGACGGGGCGACGGGGAGGGGGCACCCGCTGCCCGCACACGAGTAGAGCACCGCTGCCCCTGGGCAACTCCGGGACGGCGGGGTAGGAGGCGGACGGAGCGGTGCCCAGCGCGGGCCGCGCAACCCTACTGAGAAGCCCCCCCGAGAGGGGCTGCGAACCGGGGCCTCGCCACGATCGATTCCCCGGTACGGTGCCGGGCGGGTCCCCCTCTCCGATCAGAGCGCGGCATCCTCCACTGTGTCCCAAAAGCCAGCATGCTGCGCCCGGCGGCCCAGAGCTGTGCTGCTCGGAGCCGCGCTGCCCACCGCCGAGCGCTACGCACCGTTCAGCCTCTGGTACCCGAGCTATTGTTTTTTCCTACTCACCCCGTGCAGGCAATGGAGACGACTGCTACCTGGAACGTTTCAAGTTGGTTAGTTTGAAAATGTGGCAAACTTTCTTTCCTAAACGATTTCTTTTTCCTTTTCTTTTCTTTTCTTTTCTTTTTTTTTCTTTTTTTTTTTTTTTT